TGTGTTCACCGTCTCCGGACACTGCCCGCTGGACGCTGTCTGTGTTCCCCGTCTCCGGACACTGCCCGCTGGACGCTGTCTCTGTTCACCGTTTGTGTCTACTCTCTTCAGAAACTGCCTACTGTCCACTATCTCTGGATACTGACCACTGTCTCCGGACACTTCCCATTGTTTCTGTCCACAGTCCATACACTGTCCCGTGTCCAAAAACTGTACAGTCTCTATGGACATTGTCCCTGGACAGAGCCCACTGTCCGGACACTGCCCACTGTCTCTGGTCAGTGCCCCTATCCACTGTCTCCAAACACCGTCCTCTGCCTCCAGGCACTGTCTACTTTCTTCAGACACAGTCCAGAGTCTCCGGACATTGTCTCTGGACACTGTTCACTATGTCCACACACTTTGTCTGGTTATTGTAATTTGTCCACTATCTCTGCCTCTGACCCACTGTCTCCACCTGTGTTCCACGAAGTTTAAAATTTGGGTCGCCTTTTCAGGACAGAAATTAGGAGAATTTTCTTTTTGTCAGGAGATTATGTCACTTTGGCACTCTGCTTCAGAAGGCAATGGAGGTGGGTCATTGAATATTTTTAAGGTGGAGCTGGATAGATTCTTGTTGGGCAGGGGAATCAACGGCGATTGGGAATGGATGGGAAGGTGGAATTCAAAACACAAACAGATCAGTTTTATCTTATTAAATGACAGAGCAGGCTTGGGGGGACAAATCGTAGAATCCCCACATTGTGGAAGCAGGCCACCTGCCCCATCAAATCCACACTGAACCCTGAACAGCATCCCACCCAGACTTGAACCGCTGCATTTCTCATGGCCAATCCACCTGACCTGCACAAAATCTTTGGACTGTGAGAGGAAACCGGAGAAAACACACGCAGACGTGGGGAGGTTTTAATTGTTAAGGATAATCTGTCTCACCACCCAAATGGATCTGAGGAGGAGGTAATTGCAGTTTTCACATTGTTGGCTCAGCCTCCCATTAGGAATTGTCCAAATTCATTACAAACGCCAGAGAAAGCGCTTTAGAATTACAGCACTGAATGAGGCCATTTGGCCCATCATGTCTGTGCCTGCTCTGATAGAACAACTCAGCTACCTCCACTCCCTTGTCTTTTCCACATAGCCATGGCATTTCTTTCTCTTCAGGTAATTATGCACTTAATGAAACCCCCCAACTACTGGAGTCATACAGCACAGAAATAGACCCTTTGGTCCAACCGGTCAATGCTGACCATGTTCCCCAACTAAACTAGTTCCACTTTCCTGCGTTTGGGCCATATTCCTCGAAACCTTTCCCAATCATGAACTTATCCAAATGTCTTTTAAATGTTGTAACTGTACCTGCATCAACCACTTTCTCTGGCAGTTCATTCCACACATGAGCCATTCCCTGTGTAAAAAAGTTGCCCCTCATGTCCTTTTTAAATCTTTCTCCTCCCACCCTAAAAATATGCCCCCTGGTTTTGAACTGTGCCAACCTAGGGAAAAGACCCTTGTCATTCACCTTATCTATGCCCCTCTTGATTTTATAAAGGTCACCCCTAACTTCCAGTGAAAAAAGATCCCAGCCTTTCCAGTCTATTTTTATATCTCAAACTCTCCATTCACGGTAACATCTTGGTAAATCTTTTCTGAACCCTCTCCAGTTTAATAATATCTCTTCTATAACAGGGCGACCAGAACTGCACACAATACTTTGGAAGAGGCCTCACCAACATCCTGTACAACCTCAACATGATGTCCCAACACCTATACTCAAAGGTCTGAGCAATGAAGGCAAGTGTGCTAAATGTCTTCTCAACCACTACCATACAAGGGCAGTAGATATCAATACCTGCAAGTCCCTCTCCACACCACTCACCATCCTAACTTGGACATACATTGCTGTGCCTTCAATGTCAAAATCCAGGAACTGCCTCCTTATCGGATTGTAAGTGTACCTAAACAAAAATGGATTACAGTGGTTCAAGAAGGCAGCTCATTAACACCTTCTCTAGGGCAATTAGGGATGGACAATAAATAGCTCAGCTTGTATCACATCCCATCAACACTTGAGGCAGCACATTCCACATAAAACACTCCCTATATAAAAATATCTCCTCCTTTCATTCTTTTGCCAATCATTTCAAATCACTGACTTCTGGGTCTTGACCCTTCCACCAATGGGAACAGTTTCTCTCTAACTACTTTGTCAAATCACTAAAGATTCTATCAAATCTCCTCCTGACCTTCTCAAGAGAGAACAGCCCCATCTTTGCCAACCAATCCCTGGAACTGAAGTCACTGATTTTTGGAGGCCGTAAGTATTCCCCGTCTAAAACCTGAAGTGCAGTGCTCAGAAATGGACATAATTACCCTGTTAAGGTATAACCAATGTTTTGTAAAGTTACACCATAACTCAATGCCTCTTTTTAAAAAATTTGTTCATAGGATGTATGTGCTGGCCAACATTTATTGCCCATCCTGAGTTGTTGTGCAGAGGCACAGACTGGTAAGAATATTTTTTTTAAAAACAACAGTGGTTAGGCCAGATTTTTTTAAATTATTGAATTCAAATTTCACCATCAGCCTTGGTGAGATTTGAACCTACATTCCCACAACACTAGAGTGGCTTTCTGGATTACTAACTCAGTGATATTACCACTATGCCACCCGTCTGGGCACTATCCCTGGACATTGTTCCCTCTCTGTCTCTGTGGACACCGCCTATGGACATTGTACATCTCTCTTTCTCGGATGCTGTGTCTAGACATTGTACCCGCGTGCTCTGGATAATGTCTTTAGACATTACACATTTCGCTCTGCACACTCTTTGAACATTGTTCCATCTCTCTGGATGCGATCTCTGGACGTTGTGCCCTCTATCTCTGGACACTATTGCTGGACATTGAAGAATTTTCCATTGATTCCCACTGACACCAGTTTTGCTGTGCACCTTGATGCCACAGTCAGTCAAATGCTGCCTTGATGAGTTGTTCGTTTGTTAATTTATTTTTGTTTAGTTGAAAGGTGTATGCAGTAAATGTTTCTTGCATTCCCACAGTCTTGACACATTAGAAATATTTCATTGGCTGTAAATGCACTTGAGACTTCTTGAGGTTAGAAAAAGCGCTGCAAGTTATTTCTCCTTCTATCTCTCTTGTCTTCTCCTTTTTGAAAAAAATTGTGATATTCGCTTCCATTGAACATATGAATAAATACAGAGAAGTTGGTGCCACAGCAGTTTAATCAACACAAGAAGTACATTTTCTTTCAAAACTTTAATTTTTATAGTAACCAAAACAGTACAACACTCCTTGTTTGCCTAAACTAGTTTCTGAACTGATGGTGCAGACAGGCTTTACTTTAGTCAAAGAAATAATCCCGTATCCTTGTTTTCTCGATCCAGGGGATGTAGGCAGTGGTTCTGGTAAACACACTTGGCTTGTTCTCAACTGTGCAACCAATAGGTCCGAAACTGACCACCCCATGGACTTCCCACTTGTGCGAGTCAAGCTGACAGAGAAGAGGACCACCAGAATCCCCCTGAAAGATAACATGCACTGAATCTCATCAATGCACCATTAGATACTGTAGTTCCCAGTGACACTTCCTTAAACAGTGAGTCACCATGACACCATTAAACACAGTGATTCCCAGTGACACACTGTTAAACAGTGAGTCCCAGTGACACTATTAAACACAGTGAGTCCCAGTGACACACCGTTAAACAGTGAGTCCCAGTGACA